AGGGCAAAGTTGCTGGACGGGCTGGTGTGGATGCGCGGGGCTTGAAGAGGTCCTTGCGGGCTCAGACGGCATGCAAAAATCCGCCGCCGCGCTTGTGCGGCATTGGTTTGTTCAGTGCGCGTGGTTTGGGTCGCGGGTGGGTCGCGGGCTCTCCACCTCCAGCTGGAAGGAATGCAAAATCAGCCCGCCGCAGGCGCCCCAAAAATTGGTTTGTACACTGAACATGGTTTGGGTCGCGGGTGGGCCGCGGGTTCTCCACCGGGAACGAATGCAAAAGATGCCCGCCGCAGGCGCCGAAAAAATAGTTTCTACCCTGAACGTGGTCGCGGGTGGGCCGCGGGCTCTCCACTTGAAACGACTGCAACAGATGCCCGCCGCAGGCGCCGAAAAATGTGGTTTGTACCATGAACGTGGTTTAGGTCGCGGGTTGGTCGCAAGTTGGTCACGGGGTGGGTCGCGGGCTCTCCACCTGGAAGGGATGCAAAGAGAAGCCCGCCGCAGGCGCCGAAAATAGTTGGGTTTGTACCTTGAACGTGGTTTGGGTCGAAGGTGGGTCGCGGGTGGGTCGCGGGGTGGGTCGCGGGTGGGTCGCGGGTGGGTCGCGGGTGGGTCGCGGGTGGGTCGCGGGTGGGTCTCGGGTGGGTCGCGGGGTGGGTCGCGGGGTGGGCCGCGGGCAGGTCGCGGGTGGGTCGCGGGGTGGGTCGCGGGGTGGGTCGCGGGGTGGGTCGCGGGGTGGGTCGCGGGTGGGTCGCCGGTGGGTCGCGGGTGGGTCGCGGGTTGGGTCGCGGGTTGGGTCGCGGGTGGGTCGCGGGGCGGGTTGCGGGGGGGACGATGACAACAAACAACAAACAACAACAAACAACAACACGAATCCGCATTGCGGAATTCCACTTCAGCCACGCACCCAGGGACAGTGAATGACCGTTCGGCCCCCTCACTCTGATATACCTACATACATACATACACAAGTCCATACATGCAAACATACAAACACACAACACACTACACTGCTACATTACATTGCGTTACATTGCGTTACATCACAGCACAGTGCATGCGCACATACAAGCACTGCATAGCTGCATACCTACATAATTACCTTCCTACCTACCTACCTGCCTACATCCGATCATTACAAGCATACATACATACATACAAACATAAATGTATGCATGCATTCATACATACACATACATACATACAAACAAACATGCAATACACAAACATACATGCATACATATATATATATATACATACGTGCATGCATGCATACACACATACATGCAGACAACCAGGCATACCTACACATATACCTACCCATATACCTACATACATACATGCATACATCCATACACACATACACACATACATACATACACACATACACATACACATGCACCTACACATGCATACGCACATACACATACACATACACATACACACATACACATACACACATGTATACATATATATATATATATATGTATATCTACAGATACACATGCATACGCACATGCATACATACATGCATGCATATACACCTACCGACACCTGCCTGCATACCGACACCTGCATACCAGAACTGCCATACCGACACCTGCATACCGACACCTGCATACCGACACCTACCTACATACACACATACCGACACCTGCCTGCATACCAGAAGTGCCATCCTCGTGAACTAACTCGAATGTCTGCCGAGGTGAAGCGCCAGTGCACAGCTGCAGCCTGCACGGGCCGTGCGGCGCGCACCCCGCGCGCACTGCGGACCTCAGAGGCCTCCCAGCTGGAGTCCGAGCAGATGTTGGCGGCGCGCCGAGGGGGGTAGGGGGAGGGGGAAGGCTTCTTAGAAGGAGGCTGCTTCTTAGAAGGCGCCGGCCTTACATCTGTAGACAGGGCCCGCGCCTTCTAAGAAGCAGGGGTGCTTCTAAGAAGCCTTCCCCCTCCCCCTGCCCCCCTCGGCGCGCCGCCAAAGATGGGGTCGGAGGATCGCGCTGCCTCGGCGATGCTCCGGCGCGGTCCTCCGACCCCGCCCTCTCCGACCCCAGCTGGGAGACCTGGAGATCTGCAAGAGGAGGCGCGCGGCACGGCGCAGACCCCGTGGGATCCGAGGCGAGGGACGGCCGCCCTGCGCCTCGTTCTGGACGCGAGATGCTCAAAAAACCCGGCACCCCAAGGGGCTGCTCCGAGCAAGGCCAGGTCGAGACCCCCGACGGCATGATTTTTTCATGACGCTGACAGGCGGAGGAGGAGGAGGAGGCGGAGGAGGAGGAGGAGGAGGCGGAGGAGGCGGAGGCGGAGGAGGAGGAGGAGGAGGAGGAGAGGAGGAGAAGGGGGAGGGGTATAAGGGGAGGGGGAGGAGAGGGAGGAGGAGGAGGAGGAGGCGGAGGAGGCGGAGGAGCCGGCCGGAGGACTTCTTCATGGCTCGAGGGAGGGGGTCCGGGGGGAGGGCGGAGCTGATCGAGAGTTATAATCGGAGGAGCGGGCCGAATCGGAGCACGCGTCGCATCGCGCCGGCCGCCCGCCGGGGTGCACGACGGCGCCGTGCAAACCTCGGGCCGCACTGGGACGTGGGCAAAGCCTCGGGATCGAAGCATCTGTTCGAGCAGTGACCGGCTGTCCCGGCATTCTATTCTCAGATTCGAGAATCCAGGATCCAAGATTCAAGAACAGCCTGAACCCTCCCGAAACCCACCGAAAACGCTCCAAGAAGGGTTCTGGGAGACGTATCGGACGGTTTCAGGAGGGTTTGGGACGGTTTTTCGTCGATGTTGGGGTGGACCAGTCCCTAGCGAACCCTTGGCCTTCAAAATTCTAGAACAAAAGCAATGTCCTTAGAACATAAACCCGACGTGTTAAAACAAGACGGCCTCAGCCAGAAATGTTCTCAGAGCATGTCGTGCGGACCACGAGAGGTTCTTGGAACAATTTCATGAGGGCCATTATAGGGAACCCACAACACGCCCAACTATGTACATGAACACGGTCCCTTGAAACGCGAGACCGGCCACGTGATACGAACATTCGCACAATGCGAACTTTCGAAACCAGCGTGGATTCATGTACGTGTACGTCCTTCTCTCGTTCCTGACAATAGGCGAGCCACGACGCGTCGCCACAACTTGAGTTTTGGGCTGGGCGGAATCGAACCGTCTTGGGCTGCAATAGGTCGTGCATGTCCTCCTACAGGCGGCTTTTGGAAGAAACATTAAAATCACCAAAACATACCAACACAAGCCCCAAAAAGCATGAAGCATCGTCACCAGACTACTTTTGACTATTCTTGATTATTCCTCCCTGCAGAGGGACATGCCCGACGCAGGGCTGCACTGCTTCGATGTCGAACATCGGGTCCCCTGAGACCCGACGTAGCGAAACAATGGCGACATCGTAAAACATCAAGCCCAGGGCCATGGACACCATCTCTCTGCGCTCTTTCCCGAGGCCCAGAAGCTCCCTGCGTTTCCTGGTGAGGGAGAGGGGGCTACAAACAGAGCCCAACCCAGAGGGGGGAGGGGGGGGGCACATTGAAGAGGGCCGCCGCCCTCAGAGGGCGCCCCGGAGGGCACCCCCTGGGCTTCTGGGGAGAGGAGGGGGGGCGAGGGCGCCGCAGGAGGGGAGGGGGCGAGTGGGGGTCCCAACGGCGTGTGCCCCAGAGATCTGGCGCACTGCAGCCTCAGCACATCCGTCGCGCTGCCCTCAGGAACGCCGAGTGCAGAGCGAACAAAGGCGCCTTTCTGGCAGCGTCGGGCCTCGGCCACGAATAGGGTACGGCGGTTCCCCGGCCCAGATCGAGAGAAGGGCCCGAAAACCGGAGCCCCTCCTGAACCAAAGTGGCCCCGACTTTTTATGTCGGGCGTGTCCCCCTACAGGGGGATTTTCGACGAAAATTTTAAAAAATACCCCACAGATACACCAAAAAGGTAAAAAATACGCAAAAAAGAGTCCCCAGACTTTTTGTTGGATTATTGTTAGACTATGTTAGGTGTATTTTTTATTTCTCGTCGAAAATCCCTCTGGAGGGGGACAGGCCCGACTTAACCCTGCTTCAGCGGTCTCCCCCAGAGGCCCCCAAGGTGGTCCCCGAGGACCCAGGCTTCATCCCAGGCCACCTCTGTTGACAGCCCTGGGGCCCAGCGACGGGACCCGCACAAAGCAACCACCGCTGAGCAGCATCCGGTGCTGCCTTCTGCCAACGCGCTGGAAATCTTGGGCCCTGGGGGCCCCACCTCTCAGCACCCCTGCAGCCAGGCCTGCGCCAGATCGCATCGCAAAGTCATACCGGATCGGGCACGGATCGGATCGCCAACGAGTGGCCCCGAATCGAATCGAAGACCGCTCGCCGCGCCCGGCTCCTGCTGGCCTCGGCCGAGGCTGGTCAAATCTTAGCCGAACCGAAAGGAATCGGCACCAACGAATGGTCCCGAAGCGAATCTCAACCCGCTCGCCACGCCCGGCTCCGACTGGCCCCGGCCGATGCTGGCAAGATTCGAACCGAACCGAATGGAATCGGCACCAACGAACAATCCCAAATCGAATCCAAACCCGCTCGCCACGCCCGGCTCCGACTGGCCCAGGCCAATGCTGGTATAACTCGAGCCGAACCGACTGGACTGGGAATCGCGCGGGCCCAGCTGGCGAACCGAGTCGCATCGAATTCGGCTACACGCAGGAGTGACCCGAGTGACCTTCGGGGGACGCTGGGATGCCAAGCCCGAACGCGCAAGACGCTGCCACCGCCTCGGGCTCGGTGATCTGGGGACCCCAGGGCGCCCGCATCAGAGGTCGCTCCGGCGAAAGGCCACTCCGACGTGCAGCCGACGAGGCGGCATCGCGGGCGCCCCTGGCCAACCCCCCTTCCCCGGCCTGCCCGCCCCATCCTGCTCGGCCATCTCCGCTTCAGGGCTGCGGCCCGCGGCCGCGCGCTGGAACTCCGCCGACAGGGGGGGCACCGCCAACTCCAGCATGCTGCCCTCGTCGCGCTCGAACTTGAACACCTCTCCGGCCACAGGCGCCCGCTGCGGGCCCCTGCGCCCTCCTCCCTCCTGCCTCCTGCCTCCGCCTTCCCCCTCCCAGCTCCGCTCCTCCTCCCCCCTCCCTGCTCCCGCCTCCTCCCTCATTCGTCCTCCTCCTTCTTCCTCCTCCCCCTCCTCTACCTTCTCCTTCTCCTCCTCCTCCTCCTCCTCCTCCTCCTCCTCCTCCTCCTCCTCCTCCTCCTCTCCTCTTCCTCCTCCCTCCTCCTCCTCCACTCCTCCCCTGTTCGCCTCCCCCTCTCTCGTCCACCACCTCGCCTACCCATCCCTCCTCCCGCACTCGTCGTCCTCGTCCTCGTCCTCGTCCTCGTCCTCGTCCTCCTCCTCCTCCTCCTCCTCTTCCTCCGCATGCTCCCCCCTCCTCCTTCACCGATGGGGCCACGTTCTTGCACGAGCTGGCCAACTCAGACTGCAGCCAAGCATTGGGCAGCATGCCCCGTGGGACCCGTGCGTCCACGGGACAGGAGTACTGCAGCATAAGGTTGCTGGATTTCCTCTGGTCCTCCTCTTCCTCCACCTCCTCCACCTCCTCCTCCTCCTCCTCCTCCTCATCTTCTTCCTCCTCCTCCTCCTCCTCTTCTTCCTCTTTCTCCTCTTTCTCCTCTTTCTCCTCTTTCGCCTCTTCTCTTTCTCCTCTTTCTCCTCTTTCTCCTCTTTCTCCTCTCTCCTCCTCCTCCCTCCTCCTCCTCCTCCTCCTCCTCTCCTCCTCCTCCTCCTCCTCCTCCTCCCCCCTCCCCCGCGTCCCCCGCGCCATTTCAGGCAGATGCTCGATCGCCGGATCATCGTACAACGTCTTGATTGAGTCAGCTTCGCTATGCTAGGGCAGATGGCGAGCACATACCAGTCTAGTTTCGCTGGTTTTCAAGCTTAGACGTGCTCCTCCTGGAGAGCCCCCGAGCTGATTCACCAGCTCCCGATGCTGTTCGGCACATGTCCGTCGTCTCTCCTAAATCGAGGAACGAACATAAAAACTCGGAGGTCCGCGCAGATTTCTCGGATCCGCGCTGGACCCCCCTGGCGGCGCCTCCTGCGCCGCCCCTGGCGCGCTCCGCGCGCCAGGGAAGGCGGTCTTGTGCCGATCCGAGAAATCCGCGCGGACCTCCGGGTTGTCATTTCTGACCCATCACTCGTTCCCCTACTAATGTCGGTCGTCTCTCCTCAAGTCTGGCCGCTCCTCGCACGACGCCGGCTTCCGGGCTGGCTGCTGGGCGTCTGCGCCCCGCCAGGACGCCCACCCAGACGAGATTCCGTCGGCACTATTGCATGTCTTGGGCCGCTTGGCTGCCTGTCGTCGACAATTTCTGGGGAAACCAAAAGGTACCGATACCGCTACTCCTCGGACCTCTCCTGGGGTGCGTTTTGACAAGAATTTCGAGGCGAATTCAGCGGTGGCGACGAGAGCCTCTCAGGAGGCCGAGAAAGGGGAGAACGGGCGACAGGTATCGGTATGTGTACATGTTCCTCCTCTGACCCGAGGGCTTCGCCCTTTCATCCGCCAAATGTCAGCTGACACGGAGACCACGGTCGGGCCGACGGGGTCCCTGGGATGGGCAACGGCGCGGCCGCATCTGGCGCAGGCCCCCGACCCCCACAGCGGAGCGTCAGGAGAGACAATCTGTCCCCTGGTCCAAACGATTCGTTGAAAAACACGGGCCCGTGATCGCTCCGTGTCCACTCGGCAACAACTTCGTGGACGGCGGTTCGGTCAGAATCTGGCCTCCGAGGCGTGACAGTCGTCCCAGGCAGAAGCCCACATGACTCGGGAGTGTGAGAAGTATGGAAGGTCGGCCTTCCTAGCAAAGTGAACTTCGCACCTATTCACCTCGAGCAGCAACACACACAAGCAGGAATACTGCCCAACACAACCCTTGGAATGCTGACTCCCCCTGCCCCTGGCCCAGTCCGCGAAACTGATAGAATAACATCGTAACCACACTCTGGCAGATGATTAACCTTGCGCAGCTATCAATCCGATTGAAGACTGCGATGCCGCGGAATCCACTGTGAAGGAGTCAAGAAGAAGCCCCCCCCTACACTTCGCTGGGATTGCGTCTCCGCCCGACAGGTTGAAGCTCGACTCAGCGAATTCACACAGTGCGCTTGTGTAACATGTGGTATTCGGACGATACGGGGGGGGGTCGAGGTGAAACGGAGTCCCCAAACCAGGACATCGGTTCGTTTCGTGTCGTGCGTGACTCCCGTGCGGGCGAGGCGAAGCTGCGCGAGGGCGACGCATTTTCATGCGTTGTTTGAGTCAGGTCGGGCATGCCCTCCTACCGGCGGAGTGCGAAGCACACTTCAGAGTAGCCAAGATACTCAAAATTGCACAGCTGAAACATTGAAACAATCCCCATCTTATTTGCTTGGCCATGTTCGAATATTCCTCCAACTTCATATTATGAAGAGAAACTGGGACACACAAATAAATACACAAATAAAAAGATTCCCCATATTTTCCTATATTTTCTGGGTTTTTGTCTTCCCCACCACTTCCCATATTTTCCCATATTTTCTGGGAAATCGACGATTAATTGTGTCTGTGTGTTTTTTTCCCTCCTGATATTAGAGGGGCATGCCCGGCTTCATATTAGAGCAAACTGCCACCAGACCGCCCCCCGCACCTCGGGCGAGCGAGGGGCCCCGCGCTTGGCCCCCGGCTGCCCTGAGGCTGACAGTGTGGATGCCGTGTGGACATCCCGTGGCTGTCCTGCGCTCCCCCCTCCCCCCTCCCCCCCCCCCTCCCCCTCCCCCCCTCCCCCCCACCCCTCCCCCTCCCCCCTCCCCTCCTCCCCCTCCCCCCCCCCCCCCCCCTCCCCCCCCTCACCCCCTCCCTCCCCCTCCCCCCTCCCCCTCCGCCTCTGCCTCCCCCTCTCCTCCGCCTCCGCCTCCCCCTCCGCCTCCATGTCTATCCCTTGCTCGTCCTGTGGTTGCCCCACGGCTGTTTTGCGACCGAACTGTGGCTGTTCCTTGGGTTGTCCCGTGGATGTCTCGCGATTGTCCTGTGGTTGTCCGCCGGCTCTCCCGTGATCGGTGTGTAACGGCTACCCGCGCTCATCCCACGGTTGTTCTGTGAGTGTCCAGCTGTCCCGCGGGTGCGCTGTGGTCATCCTGCTGTCCCGTGGTCGCCCTGTGGTTATGCCTGGTCGGTCCGCAAGTGTGCCGCGGTCGTCCCCTGGCTTCCCGCATGGTCGTCTGGTGGCTCTGACAGTAATACCTACCAGACCGACCTGGCATCGAGATGGCAAGCGGGAATCAGATCGAACATGGCGGGGAGAAATGTTAGGGCTCTAACGAATTGTTGACTTTCGAGAAATTCATTTTTAACCGACCAAAACTATTGGGCGCCCGAGTTATCCGGGGTAACTCGGGTTTGGATTCCCGAAAAACGATCCCGAGTTAGCCCTGATCCTAATTACCCCTGATGATTCGGGGCTCTGAAACTATGCCCGTGGTCGCCCCGTTGTGGTCCCGCGGCTGCCCCGTGGCTGTCCCGCGGCTGCCCCGCGGCTGTGCCGCGGCTGCCCCGCGGCCGCCCCGCGGCAGGTCCTGCGGCTGTCCCGCGGCTGCTCCGTGGCGGCCCCGGCTGTTGTGTTTAGATACGCCCGTTCGGATGGCTGTTCCGATGGTTGCCCCGAGGTTCTTCGGCCGTTGTCCTGTGGTCGTCCCGTGGTTGATTCGCTGTTCCGATGTGCCTTGGTGGTTGTTTAGACGCCCGTTCGAATGGCTGCTCCGAGGTTCCGATGGTCCAGGCCTCCTAGATGGGGTCGGAGTTGGTGGGGTCGGAGGATCGCGCCGCATCGTCGATGCATCGACCATGCGGCTCGATGAGGAGCCCGATTTTCCCCACGCCGACGTCTCGGTTGCGTCGCCGACGTCGCCGATGCATCGCCGATGCATCGCCGATGCATTTGCGATGCGGCGCGATTCTTCGACCCCATCCACTCGAACCCCATCTAGGAGGCCTCAAGATGGTTGCCCCGAGGTTATTCGGCGGTTGTCCTGTGGTCGTCCCGTGGTTGATTCGCTGTTCCGATGGTTGTTCCCGTACGTGGCCCGTGGTTGCCAGGATTGCTGCTCTCTGATCGGCCGGGGAAGGGAAAGCCAGGTCATCGCAGTGTAGGGCAAAGCTCGGAGTCGCTAGGTTTGGGTTCTGTGCTCGACAACGCACTAGGTCCGGATAAAATACGTTCTGCTTGCGACGGAGGAGGAGAGAGATTGTTATGACACCATCGCCATCTTGCCACAGTCCAGACATGGTCTGGAGGAGGAAAGAGTAATCGCCAAAAAGGCGAAACGTCTGAAACACACATCTGCGCCAGCACAGATCTGCCGGCCCCCTTGTGAGACCACCAGGCTGTAGGCCGAAGCGTGGTGCTCCCTGCAGCAGTTACATCTTCAAGCCTCCAATGTTACCACGCCCGGATCGTGCTCTCTGAATTCCCGGGGGGCGGAGGGCACGTATAAACACATGAGACTCGCGCCCCGAGGACGTAATCCGTCGTAAATCACAAAAAAAGTCACGCCCCCGAGGCCGAACACCCTTTTGCAAAGTTGGCCATGATCGCATTGCCGAGGCCAAGAGTGTCCCAAGGCGCCCGAAGATTAACCCAAGACGACCCAAGAGGGCCCCAAGAGCGCTCCAAGAGGCCCCCCGAGAGAGCCCCAAGAGGCCGTCGATTTTACAACGGTGTTTGAAGGATGTTTGACTTCTCACATTTTCAGTTTTCCGACGCTCCAAGACGTCTCAAGAAGCTCCCGAGATCGCCCCAAGAGAGCCCGAGTGGCCCCCAAGAGGGCCCCAAGACGGCCCAAGAGAGCTCCAAGATGGCCCAAGAAGCGCTCAAGACGGCCCAAGAGGGCCCCTGAAGGGGCCCAAGCAAGGGACAACGAACCGAAAATTTGATACGTGTGCCCCGAGAAGCCCCCAGGAGGCACCAAGAGGCCGCCAAGAGGCCGCCAAGAGG